GAGGGAGACCGTGCGAAGCCATAAACGTAACGGGCGACACACTGCGCGAGGAAAACATTGGATATTGGCGTTGCGAGTGTGGGTGTGTGTGTATGTGTGTGTATGTGCGTGTGTGTTTGTGTGGATGTGTGTGTGTGTGAGTGTGAGTGTGTGTGTGTGTTGTGTGTGTGTGTGTGTTTTGTATTTCTATTTCTATTTGTATATGTATTTCTGTTTGTTTTGTATTTGTGCTTGTGTTTGTATTTGTATTTGTGTTTTTGGCTGTGTGTGTGTGTGCGTGCGAGCTCGTATGTATATACGGGCTTGTGTGTGTGTGTGTGCTTGTGTGCACGCTTGTCTGTGTGGTGTGTGGTGTGTGTGTGTCCGTATGTGTTTAGATCTATATCAACCCGTACGTATTCCTATGAGATCGTTTCCCGTTTGTCACACATAAAACCGTTTTTTTCTACCGTTCATCCGACGCACCCAAACACACGAAATAAAACCAAGGGAAAGGGATCCGCGAATAACAAACAGAGATAAGGGACGAAGGAGGAGGGACTGCGGGACATGGGAGTTCGGAAGACGAGGATGCAAATTCTAAGGAAATGGCTCTTTCTGCGAGGTTCGCGTGAGGAGGGGGGGAGGGGAGGTGGGGGGGTGCGGTGGGGGAAGCGCAGGGTAGGGAGGATGAGGGGGGGAGTAGGGTGTGAGGAGGGGAGGGAAGAGGTGAGGAGAAGGGAGGACGGGTGTGAGGAGGGGGGGAGGAGGAGGAAGGGTGCGTGGGGAGCGCAGGGTAGAGAGGAAGGGGAGTGGGGGAGAGTAGGGTGTGAGGAGGGGGAGGGAAGAGGTGAAGAGAAGGGAGGGAAGGGGGTGAGGAGGAGGGAGAACGCGGTGGGGGAGCGCAGGGGAGGGGGGAGGGAGAGAAGGGTGTGAGGAGGGGGATGGAAGAGGTGAGGAGGAAGAGAGGGAAGGGGGTGAGAAGGAGGGAGGGAAAGGTGTGAGGAGAGGGGGGGGAGAAGTGAGGAAGAGGGAAGAAGAGGTGAGGAGGAGGGAGGGAAGGGAGTGAGAAGGAGGGAGGAAAGGGTGTGAGGAGGAGGGAGGGAAGGGTATAAGGAGGGGGAAGAGGGAGGGAGCAAAGGTTGTAAGAAGGAGAGAGGAGTGACAGGTGGGGAGAGGAGGAAACGCAGGATGGGGAGAGGGTGATCCGCAGGGTGGGAGGAGGGGTGCAGACGAGCCAAGAAAAGAGAATAAAGTTCCTCACCTCGTTGTTTTACAGCAGAAGGTCGGCCAGGTCAGGTGAGGTGATAGCCCATTAAAATGAGGGAAAAATGTCGCTCTGGGAAATTTCAACGAGAAGAGAGTGAAGGGAGGAGGAGCGAGGAGGAATGAGAGAAAGAATTATTCTAGGAGAGGGAGGAGGAGAAGGAGGGAACGGGTGCGGTTTTCTGGGGAAAGGAGGAGGTCTTCTAGGAAAAGGGGAAGGGGAAGGAAGAAAGGGGAGGAGGACGGGGGGTAGAGGTGGGGGGAAGTTAATCTAAAAGGAAGGGGCAGGGGTATTCCAAAAGGGAGGGGGAGGTATTCTAGGAAAGGAAGAAGGAGAAGGAGAGGTCTTCTAAAGAGGGGAGGAGGACGAGCGAGGACGGGTGTAGAGGTGTAGAGGCGGGAGGAGATAATCTAAAAAAGGGGGTGAGGGGATTCTAGGAAAGGGGGAGGGGAATAGAAGAAAGGTTTTCTAGGAAAGGGATTAAGCTATCCTAGACGAAGAGAGGAAGGGAAGGGAGAGATATTCCAAAAGAGGGAGCTAGAAGGAGGAAAAAAATATAGGTGTTGTAATAGAAAGGGAGAGATGATGTTCTATGAGGGGGAGGAGGTATTCCCCGGAGTGGGGGAGGGGGTATTTTTTCGGAATGGGGGTGAGGGGGGGTATTCAATAGGTGTTCTAGTAGAAAGTAGAAAACGAGACTTCTAGAAGGGGGAGGAAGCATTCTAGAAGAGGAGGAGGAGTCATTCTAGGAGAGGAGGAGGAGGAGAGGTATTCCCGGAGTGGGAGGGGGGAGGGGTATTCTCAGAAAGGGGGTAGGTGGGGGGGTATTCTCAAGAGGGGGGGGTGGGGGGGGGGGGGGGGGGTGGGGGTGGGTATTCTCGGAAAGGGGGTGGGAGGGGGGGGTATTCAAGAGGAGGGGAGGCAAGAGATAGAAACGGGTCTGTCGTCATTGTTTCCGAGAGATAATGTAGGTATACTTACCATTCGTACACGCGCTCTCTCCGCTATCATTAAACACTGTCAGTACAGAGCCAGCTGGACCTGCGATACTGCAATGAGAATTACTCCTTTTATCTTGATGCAGTCTGTACAGTATGTGCTGCTGGTTCTGTCATTTGTAATACTGTTATGTTATTAATAGCGGTGGTTTGTATTACATTTGTTTTTGTTTTGCTTAATTCGTATCATCTTTTTAGATTGGTCTGATATATCTGATCTATTTTTACTTGTATTTACTTTTATTTTCGTGAGTCTCTTAATTATACACATTTTGTATTTGGACATTCTTTTATCGGGCCTTACATCACTCACTACAATAGCAGTTCGTTAGTGATTTTTTTACTTGATATACGGAGCAGAATTTCACTTTTTGTTTTGTTTGAAAATGTAATTCAAAATCAATTGTTTCGATTAGATTAAAAAAAAATATATTGAAACTGTCGTAATTCAAAATCAATTGCCTCGATTAGATTAAAAAAAAATTTGATTTTGATTTTGAATATAATGTTTCGGTTAGATTGATGCCTGATTTTGCCTTTTCAATCAGAAAAATGCCTGACCTTGACTGAATTAAATTATTCGATTTGATGAGTGCCTGACATTGACTTTATTGCAATTAATTCGATTAACTAAAAATTATTTTGACTTAAAACCTTCCTTTTTGATTAGACAAATGCCTGATTTTGGCTAAATCAATTGACCCGAATCGACAAATTACTGTTTCTGTCCAAACCAAGATTCCGTTCGATCGGTGCTTTGCATTATTTTCACTCTCATGCTTTATCACAACTCTCCCTCCATTGTTTTTACATTAGCGAAATTGTCTTCTAAAATTAACTCCTGGCACTTTAGCTCTTAGCATTTTCTTTATTTTCTTTGGGATCCGTATGGAGATGGTTCGTCTTCCTGAATATTTAAGACGTTAAAGTACCCGAGGCGCCGCACGAAATGTTTTCGTTTTACACAGAAGCGTCGTGTGGCGTTCGTTGTGTGTGTGTGTGTTTGTGTGTGTTTGTGTGTGTGTGTCTGTGTGTGTGCGTTTGTGTGTGTATGTGTGTGTGTGTGTGTGTGGTGTGTGTGTGTGTGTGTGTGGTTTCGTGGTGTGTGTGTCTGTGGCGTTTGTTGTTTGTGTTGTGTGTTTGTGTGGTGTCTTTGCTGGTGTGGTGTGGTTAGGCTTACTGGTAGTCGCTAATTGTAGCAGTTGATGGGTGGTGTGGATGGTATAGGTGTTGGCGTTCGAGCGCGTTGTGAGGCTGGCTTGTGGCGTCTGAGCGACGTTGAGTGAGCTGGTCTTGTCTTCGTTGTGTGGGTGTGTGTCTGTGCGTTTTGTGGTGATTCTGTGGTGTGTGTTTGTGTGTGCTGTTTGTGGGTTGTGTGGTGGTTTGTACCGTGTTTGGTGTCTGTCTGTGGCATGTGTTTGTGTTGGTGGTGAGGAGTGTTAATTGGTACAAGTCTTCGCGGGTATTAGGAGGTAGTGTTCGTGGGTTAGCAAGCTGCTAGCGTGGAGATCCGGCTGGTTGTTGACTCGTGTGGTTTATGTTGTCTGTGATGTGAGGGAAGAGTTCTCGTAATTTGATTACGTCGGGTCATGAGGTTCACGAGCGGTGCTACAGAGTATAGAGCGGTGATAACCGCATGTGAGTTCTCGTTCAGGCGGTCGATCGCCGAAGTCGAGAGCGGGTGGGAGGACCGAAGTTGTGGGGGCGGCTCATTAGGGCCAGGATGTAGTCGTTGGCATTTTCTTGGGGATCGGAAGCATACGTGCGCCGGATAGGGCGAGCATGAGTCTCATGAGGGGCAGCGCGTAGATGTAGTAGCGCGGGGTGTGGCGTCTGTAGTGCTCGCTCTGAGGCATGTCTTATGTCGAATGTCGAATAGATGTAGACAGGGGAGGTATATGCTGATGTCACGATTAAGTGTTGAACGTGCTGTTGTTTCGGTTGGTTCGCGGGAGGTAGTAGTCTGGTGTGTGGCAGTACTGCTTTTAGTAACTAGCGTGGGGTGGCCGTTAGGAGTCAGGCAAGTGGCTATGTAGTTGATAGCATATGCCTGGTGGAGTCGGTCAAGATGTGTGGCGTGCATGGTATGTATTGTATTGGACTGTTACGGAGCGGACTGTTTGAGTCGGTCTCGCACCAGAGTCGTGCTACGCCTGGCTGGGTTGTCCGTCCGCGGGATGCGTGATAGTGTGGTGTTGTGCGTTTTGGTGTGTTGTGTGTGTGTTTTTGTGTTGGTTTCGTGGTCTGTGTGGCTGTGTTCTGTCAGTGGTTCGTGTTGGCGTTTGGGTTGGTCTTGTGTCGGTATTGGTGGTGTGTTGGTTGGTTGCGCGTTGTGGTGTGTGTGTGGGTGTGTGGTTAAGTTAGTGGTGTACCGGTTGGTAGCGGTGTGTGCTGGTGTGTTTGGTATTGTGTGTCTACGGAGGGGTAGGATGCTTGGTATTCAATGCTGAAAGGTTGTAGTTGTATGGTCCTCTGGGGCTTGTGTGCTGGGTGGTATCTGTGGGATGATCTTGTCGCGGGTGTGATGTCGCATAGAGTTTCTTGCTGATGTTTACTTGCCTTGCTGCGCGAGCATAGAGCCGGTTTGGTGAGATGCGGTGTGGGGATGCGCGTGAGTGCCCTAGGGATCATGTCTGTCTTGTTGGATGTTGATTATTGTCAGTGGGTGGACGTTTAGTCGTGTCGTCTCGGTGGGATACGTTTGATGGTTCTAGTGTCTGTTCGATATGGTGTTGATCTGAGGGAGTGGTTGTAACATGAGTAGATAATAGTTGTAGGGTGGTAGACAGGACGTTAGATGTGTGTCTTCAAGCGTCGTGTGTTGTGGCATGTGTGTGTTCGTGGTGATCAGTGTTGTGTGTCTGTGCGTTTAGTGTGGTGTTGTGTTGTGAGTGATTGTTTGTGTGTGATGTGTCTGTGTGGTGTGCGTTGTGTGTGTGTATGTGGGTGTGCGTGTGTGTGTGTGTGGTGTGTGTGTGTGTGTGTGTGTGTTGTGTGTGTGTGTCTGTGCGTTTGTGTGTGTGTGTGTGTGTATGTGTGTGTGTGTGTGTGTGTGTGTGCGTGGGTGTGTGTGTGGCGTTTGTGGTGTGTGTGTGTGGTTGTGTGTGTGTGTGGTGTCTGTGTGTGTTGCGTTGTGGTGTGTGTGTGTGTGTGTGTGTGTGTGTGTGTGTGTGTGTGTGTGTGTGTCTGTGTGTCTGTGCGTTTGTGTGTGTGCGTGTGTGGGTGTCGTTTGTGTGTGTGTTGTGGTGTGTGTGCGTGTGTGTGTGTGGTGTGTGTGTGTGTGTGTGTGTGTGTGTTGTGTGTGTGTGTGTCTGTGTGTGTGCGTTTGTTGTGTGTGCGTGTGTGTGTTGTTCATGTGTGTGTGTGTGGTGTGTCTGTGTGTCTGTGTCCGTGTGTCTGTTTGTGCGTGTGTGTATCTGTGTCTGTGTATGTACGAACACACAGATACAGTATTATAAGCGTGTTTTTGTTTACGCGTACGATTTTTTCTTTAATATTGTGTAGCTGGATGATGAAAAATATATATATATATTGGTCATATTTCCGCTGAGCTCAGATATTTCGCGGCGTTATCGCAATGTGTTGTTCTGCTATTTGTGATATTTTGGCCCTTGTTATTGTTTTACTGTTACTTTCGTTGCCCTTAAACCTAAATGTTACTGTTTTTACATTCAATGTTTGTTTGTTTTTTATAGTGCATACGTTTCCGTTAAATATGTTTCAATTGCACACATTTCCGATGCAACGGTTTTATCGTATTTTTTTATTCGTCTATTGTTTCAACATTGGCCGCAATACTTCCATTTTTTTTCTTTCCTTTTATTGTTTATACATATATGTATATATGCATATATGTATATATGTATATGTGTACATATAGATAGACATATAGATAGCTAGATAGACAGACAGACAGATAGATAGATAGATGAGATATGACAGGGAACAGATAAACAGATAAACAAATGCAAAGATAGACAGATTGATGGATAGAAAAACAGACAGACCGACAGGTAGAT